AGTTTGGTTGGATTGAAAGGAAAGACAGTGTTGGATTTTTCCTATTCAACATTTCAATAAAGTAACTGGTCCAGCAGGGATTGCATTTACTACACTATTAAACTCACTACCAGGAATTATAGCGCCGCATCCTGTAATAAAATCATGATAAGTCTTTAAAGATCCATCACACTTGAACAACCGATGAACTAAAACCATGTTGTGTGTGAACCAATTTTGTTTTGATGCAAATGTCTTTATTGTTCCAAATGTAACCTGTGGAGAGAAATTGTGCTTGTAATCAATGACCAAGAAAGAAGCCTCTGTTGATGAAAACTGAATAGTTTTGAGGGAATTTTTCCAACATTATAATCGCAAACTAAGATGAAATTCAGATCATGTAATGAAGACAAAGTTTGGTATGAAGTTCCAAACTGAAAATGGATTCCTGATTAATTGTTTCAGCCAGTTTATTTTGAATGTATTATTTAAAGTGTCAAAGTCTAAAACGTTGAGGCCACCTTTTTCATAGGAATTCATAATAACTGATTTTTTAACAGAATGAGTTTTGTTATTCCAAATAACATTAAAAAGCATCTTGTCAAATCTCTGAAAAGCTTTTTGTTGATAAATGTAAGACGGGTTGACGGGTTGACCTCGACCTCAGCGATAAATCTCTCTTGCTGTTAATAGCGGAGTTAAAATTCAGGAGAAACCTGCAGTCTCTGTTTTTGTAATGATTCCTGGGGAACAAGGAGCTAACCCTGCTAACTCTGGTTGTCAGATTATTAAAATGTATTATTATAAAGTACATCTCTAGTGTTAGAATTATTGTAGGTTCCTGACCTTTGACCTGTTCTGGCCCTGCTGTCTGGTCCATGTGAACTCGAGTCTGGTTCTGGTTCTGTCTGTTCTGCAGGAGCTGGAGTCTCTCAGCAGCTGCAGACCATTCAGGTTCAGCCCAGCAGTCAGCAAACGTCCAATCACAGCGGCTCTGACACATGCAGCCCCGCCTCCTCCACAGGTAAGCCCTCGCCCACAGCCAGGTGTTCAGAGAGAAAAAGATTTTTATTGTGACAGGGCTCTTGATCTGCTTCCTGTCTGTCTTGGCAGCTGGTCTCTCTGTGGTCTCTCCTTCCTCCTCCTCTTCCTCTGCGGCGGGTCACATGATGTACCCCGGCGGTCCCACGGTGATGTACGCCACGCCCAGCCCCTCTTGGCCGACGGCGGCTTGGCCGTCCTCAACGCCTTCCCCCCCGGCCACGCCCCGCCCCACGACCAGGTACGATCCGTTCACGTTCGGGCCGAGTCGGGTCAGAACCAGAACCGGAACCAGAATTGTGATTGGTGCCTGCGGTTCTGTGTGACAGGTACGGTCCAGCAGGTCTTCCTCACATCTCTTCCTCCGGTTGCTGCTCAGATCCCAGTTTCTGCCGTGCAGCTGCCCCGGTAACACACACACACACACACACACACACACACACACACACACACACACACTCTCTCTCTCTCTCTGGTACCTATGGAACCGGGTTGAACTGAACTCAGAACCAGAACTCTGACGGCTGCTTGTTTGTCCAGATGGTGATCGGCGGTGGAGGCGGCGGCGGCGGCGGCGGCGGCGGCATCGCGGAGCTTCAGGTGCTCAGTCTGGACGTTCACCAGTCCAAGGAGGACTGAAGGTCATGTGACCTCATGACCTGACGTTCCTTAGTCACATGATGCAGGTTCCATCTGAAGGAGTCCTTTCCATTGGACGGATGACTATGGAAATTTTAAAGGAAGTTTTCAAAATAAAAGCCTCGATAGAGGCTGGAAAATGATGTCATCATGATGTCATCATGATGTCATCATGATGTCAGGCTGCGACAGACCTGAAGATGAGCAAACTTTATTTACACACTGCTGTTTGACGAACAACGCACCTGAAACTAGCAGAGACCCAGTTCAGAACTGGTTCAGGGACTGGGAGGAACTGGTTCTGAAGCGGTTCTGATCCGTTTCTGACTGCTGAGTGAGGAAGAGCAGCTTCACTGGTGATGCAGCAGAACGGATCAGTGTATGGTTCTGATCATTCTTGTGTGGCCCGGTTCTGACCCAAACAGCTGATCAGGTTTACATGAAGACTGTTGTTGTGTTTTTACTGAAACAAATAAAGTTTTTATTGCTTCTGGAAACTTCTTCAGGCTCTTCGTTTGTTTCTTCTCTGAGGCTCTGATTGGTTGTTAATACGGTTACCAGAGAACTCAGCGAGTTGAATGCTGACCTTTGACCTAATTTAGAGGAACACCAATGGCAGAACTCAGTGCTGGACAGGCAGACATGTTAACATAGATAGTCATCAGGTAGATCTGCTGTACAGATGAAGAACTTTGCATTCTAGATGTAAAGAGCCAGGATGGATCTGTGAAGTTCACAATTCAGAGACTGAGACAAAAGTCAGGGAGCAAAAACGTCTTCAATCCGTCTGCAGACAGCAAGAATACATGACATCAGGCGAAAACCAAAGTCTGCTCTCACAAACTCAGAGTTACATCGTTGCTTTATTCACCTCTCTGCTGACAGATTTCATCTTCAAGGACCAGACAGGAAAACAGACGAAACAGTTTCAGCTCAGTCACTATCAGATCTACAGGATGTGGAAACTAAACAGTCTGTCTGGGAAACTTCAGCAGACAGTTCAGTTAGTTTGTACACCCTCTGCAGCCGCATGAAAAACATCTCCACTGTGATACAATTACATTTATGTGATACATAAAAGAACACTGTACAAGGCAAATAAAACATTTTCTCCTTAAAGAAAAATCTACTGAGCCTTTTTTCTCTAGTGGGTAGCAAAGAAATAACTTAAGTAAATGAAACCTAGAAATGATAAAATGAAGTAAACTGCTAGAAGACAGTTGAGAAACACAAAACCTGAGTCTATATTTGTCATTAAGCAATGATCCAGAATATCAACATCACAGGAGTTTCAGCAAGTGTTTTGTCCTCTGGTGATATTAAGCTCAGCCAAAACCTGAAAATGGAAAAATGTTACACTTCTAAACAAAATAAAAGTCCAAAGTGTCAATTTATTTGCACTTGGGATAATGAGAAAACCTTTGGTGCTGCAAATAAACTCAATCTCACCATCAGGGGAATTATGGGTTATGAAGTATGGCATCCTTAATCCGTGGGGTGTTGTTCTGCAGCGATGTCCGTCCTGACATGTTCTCCATGCTGCCTCGGCTCGGCGGACCTCCTCCTGACTGGGCCGTCGGTGCTATCCCTGTTTTGTCAGGGATACTTTGTTGGGATCCCCTTGCTGGGATTCTGGGCTGGTCCCCTCTGATTTCCCAGTGAACTTCTGGCCAGGTGGACTCAGGTGGATTTAAGAAAATCCACAACCTTCACTGCAGTCGTCAGTTCTTCTGCCTGAAATATTTAAAAACACAAACTTGCGTTACAGTAGATCCTTTCTGCCAGCAGCTGTTGGACCATCAATAACTGTTTACATCCCTTCTGTCATTTGCTCTTATTTTCTCATTTTTAAGTGTTTCAGCTGTTACTGCATATCTGCTTTGTTTACTGCACTGGTTCTGTAACCAGTATGTTGCAGAACATTAATGTTCAGTAAACATTGTGTACATTTCAGTCATCCCACCCAGCAGCACATTCCTTCAGTTTGATATTTCTATTTCTGATAACTTTACTGTGTTTTTAAGTTATAACATCGTACACTCTTTGATCTTTGTGTCAACTTATATCTGTTGGGCAAAATATCAATTTCTATGTTAGTGTAACACAAGCCTCTGTTTCCTTCCCAACATGGCTGATTCAGCAGCCGCGTTATGATGTCGCCTGCTTCAGGTTGGCGGCAAGATGGCGGACAGAGCAGCTGCATGACAATGAGCTCTGGGTAGCAAGCTCCTTCAATTAGCAGTTGAACGTCTAAGAACAGGGCCAGCCCAAGGCATGAGCAAACTAAGCGACCCGGGCCGGTCCAGTTCAACAGCCAAACATTTAAGCTGCGTGTTTGTGTGAAACTGAATTTAAACTTGAAATGAATTGATTCTGATGGTGGCTCTGAATATTTCTGAGGTATTTTAGCTTCAAATGCTGTTTGATAAGGTTTGATAATAATTAAAACTTGTCAATGTTTTACATCGACAAGCAAAAATGTTGTTTCGTCAGGCTGCAAGCTGAAAAAAAATAGAATTCTGACTTTAATCTCTGAATTCAGAGATTAAATTCAAAAGTGTTTTCTTTTTCCAGTGGCCCTAATCCTCTTCCACAGCCACATGATGAGCTGCTCTATGCTAACATCTATTTGTTGTTTGCTGCTCAGCAAAATCATTTTGTGGCAAAACAAACATTATTTTACATCAACTTCTAAGTTATGAGAAACTTCTATTAAAATTATTTGAAGGCTCAGAATCAACTCGGTACCAGTACCGGTCCACATTCTCAGGGGAGAAAGACTCATCGGGTATAAATGAGATTTTTAGCTATTGGGATAATACGTAAGAGAAATTCATTGAATTATAGAATGTGATGAATGTGTGAGCAGAGCTGCACCAATTGCAGAGCAGAAGAGGACAGAGGTGATTTATCAACCTTCGCTGATGAAGGGTTATGTTAGAAAAAAAGCTGAATTTACCAAATTATATAATGCATTACCAAAACCATTTATTAATCAGATTAAAATATAATAGCATGATCCAATTACCCAATTTATCTATTAATGAAAATTCAATAACCACACAATAAGAAACTGTCTAAACAAAACTTTATTCCCTGGGAAAATAAATAAACAACATTTTTTGAAAGGTTAAGAACTCTTTATCCCCTTGTTGCTATTTAGTTATTTTATTTTTATTTTTTATTTTTGTCAATATTACCTTGTATTTTCATGTCTAAATCTGCCTCTACTAACCCTCTACAGAGTTGGACTGTTGTAATTGACTTACTTTTTTGTACTTACTTTTTTTTTAAATAAAGTTAAAAAAAATAGCCTGCTTACGTCCTTTCTTTACGTCATCAGGGCGACACGCGGGCTTAGTGTTAGCAGCGAGTAGAGCGTTGTGGCGGATCGTCTTTTAACCTGATTCATCGAATTTCAGCCGAAGCAGAAACCCGCATAAAGATGGCTTCTGCCGGGGTACAGGGCAGGAAGAGGCTCCTGAAGGAGGAGGACATGACCAAGGTGGAGTTTGAGACCAGCGAGGAGGTAGATGTTACCCCCACCTTCGACACGATGGGTCTCCGGGAGGACCTGCTTCGCGGGATATACGCCTACGGTACGATCGGGGCTGGCCTGCGGCCTGCGGTGGAGTTAGCTCGGGATGCTAATGCTAAGGTTCTTCCTCTGGTTAAATTGGACAAACTGCAGGAAATCGAACCTCTAGGAAAGTTAAAGACGGATGAACCGCAGATATTCTGGTGGAAGGAAAACTTATTCATTTGTGTGGACCCTCTGTGGAGGAGGCTGGGTCGGAGAAACCCGCTCCGCTAATATCACGATTCGGAACAAAACGCTGTTTGGTCCGACCCCCAGGACGCTTCTGCCGATAATCAGGGACCGACTCTCAGTGGCATAATGGGACCAGCGTCGCTGCTCTGAAATGGGCAGAAATTTGAACGAGGTCCCGCAGGACTAACAGACGGAGGCCGCCGGGGCTCCCGGTTCAGCTCGCATTAGCGTTAGCTCCCGGTTAGCTGGGAGCTAATGCTGCGTTCCGGTGTTTCTGGCTGAAAGGAGGAAAACTGCCGGAGTTTGTTGGATTTGGTGCTAACTAGCGTTAGCATCGACAAAATATTTACGGTCCAGATGTTAAAAGATGCCAAAGAACGGAGTGGACCGCAGACTGGACCTCATTGGTTCCACTCCTGGTTCTAGTCTTGGTTCTGGTTCTAGTCTAGGTTCTGGTCTTGGTTCTGGATCTAGTCCTGGTTCTGGTCTTGGTTCTGGTTCTAGTCTTGGTTCTGGTTCGAGTCCTGGTTCTGGTCTTAGTTCTGGTTTTAGTCCTGGTTCTGGTTCTGGTTCTAGTCCTGGTCTTGGTTCTAGTTCTGGTCCTGGTTCCAGCCCTGGTTCTGACCCGGTTTCTGTGTTTCAGGCTTTGAGAAGCCGTCAGCCATCCAGCAGAGAGCCATCAAGCAGATCATCAAAGGCCGTGATGTCATCGCTCAGTAAGCCGCCCAGTTCATCACCACCGCCTCCCGTCGTCATGGTGACTAATGCCACTCTCCGCTCTGTGCAGGTCTCAGTCTGGGACGGGGAAAACCGCCACCTTCTGCATCTCCGTGTTGCAGTGTTTGGACATCCAGGTCGGCGGCCGGGTTCCGACCCAATTTTGCTCTGGTTCTGTTTCGACCTGGTTCCGACCCGTTTGCTCTCTCTGCAGGTGAGGGAGACCCAAGCTTTGATCCTGGCTCCAACTCGGGAGCTGGCGGGACAGATCCAGAAGGTAGCTCCGCCTCTTCCGTCCTCCAGGTGAGTGTCGTGTGTGATGCGTTCTGATTGGCCAGCGGTCTCACCTGCACAGGTGCTGCTGGCGCTGGGAGACTACATGAACGTCCAGTGCCACTCCTGCATCGGTGGCACCAACGTGGGCGAGGACATCAGGAAGCTGGACTACGGGCAGCACGTGGTGGCCGGCACGCCGGGCCGCGTCTTCGGTGAGTATGGGATGGGGCGGAGCTTCGGCCGAGGCCCCGCCTTTTCTGACCGGTCGCCTCTTCCTGCAGACATGATCCGGCGGCGCAGCTTGAGAACCCGAGCCATCAAGATGCTGGTTCTGGATGAAGCCGATGAGATGCTGAACAAAGGTGGGTGATGGAGAGCCGTTAGCATGCTAACTGCAGCTAGTCCGACCATGCTAACTGCAGCTAGTCCGTCCATGCTAACTGCAGCTAGTCCGTCCATGCTAACTGCAGCTAGTCCGTCCATGCTAACTGCAGCTAGTCCGTCCATGCTAACTGCAGCTAGTCCGTCCATGCTAACTGCAGCTAGTCCCCATGCTAACTGCAGCTAGTCCATGCTAACTGCAGCTAGTCCAACCATGCTGGCCCATGCTATTGGTGGTTAGGAGCTTATGCTAGTCTATGCCACTGGCAGCTAATCCCTCCATGCCAACCCCTGCTGTCCCCTCATGCTAATGGCGTCTATGACCTCTTGCTAGCCCATGCTAACGGCGACTGTCCCGGCAGGGTTCAAGGAGCAGATCTATGATGTGTACCGCTACCTGCCTCCTGCCACTCAGGTGGTTCTGATCAGCGCCACGCTGCCTCACGAGATCCTGGAGATGACCAACAAGTTTATGACCGACCCGATCCGGATCCTGGTCAAGCGGTGAGTCTGAAACCGGGCCGGTTCTCATGATCTGGCACTAGAATTTTGGGTCCAGACAAGAAACAGAAAAAAATGCTTCTAGTCTTTATTGCAGCTGGGTTGTTGCTGAACTCTGATACGGACCAGCACCAGGCCAGAACCAGTTCTGGCCCAGTTGGAACCTGTAGATGTGGGATTGGGTTAAATCTGGTTAAATGAATGAAAAACATCTGTAGCAGGCGGCGCCAAAGCTTCAATCTTATTGGTCCGTTTGCTTTTGTTTACTTGGCGGCTTGGCGCTTTTTCTGGAAGCAAAACATGAATGAGCAGTTTGAACGTTCTAGCTCTTAGAGCGGTTGAGCTTTACCGTGTTCGGTTCTGGCGGGTCCAGTTAGCAGACGTCTGCCGCTCTTCCTCTAGTCGAAATGTTCCCCAAAGAGTAAAAATGAAGCAAACGTTGTTGCTTCACCTTCTCCTTGGACGTCTGGCACCAGCTGAACCTGGGAATCGACATCCTCAGCTTTCGCTTCCATGTCTTTACTATTTAGCATCGTTTGTAAAAAATGGGTTTTGCTGTTTTCGTGGTTTAGGTTTGTGCTGGTTTTGTGCGGTTGATGCGGTTGGAGAGGTGCAGTGATAGTTTAGTGCAGACCATCCGATCTGTCAGACATTTTTTTTCAACATCTGCTGGTGTCATCCAATTGGAGAGGGTTAGGCTCAGCTTTTAAATTTGCGAAATCACAAAAAAAGCTAATAAACCGGCGACCCGTATCTGGTCCGAATCTGTAAAAAGCTCAGGCTGATCTTAGAACAACGGGAGCTTCAAACTCCACTCATTCATTTTAGCTAACAGGAAAAGCAAACTGACCAATAAGATTTAGGCTTTGGCCTGCCCTTCGACCCCCACAGACTCACACTGATGCGTACAACATGTTTAGGGTTTGGGATCTTTACAGCTGCTGCTGCAATAATCCAAACTGTCAGTCACTTCTGGTTTAGAGTCACAGAAAATCTCCAAAAGGGAATCAAACTTCAAACTCTGAACTAAGAACTTCTTATCACATCATAACAATTGATCATAGCTGCCATGGCAAATTATTACTGATAACTATTGTCAATAGTCCCTAACATTAATGTGACCAGGCAGCATGTAATCATATTTATACATATGCAGACTATTGTTATGAAGGCAGAGCCAAGAAAATTTCTATGTGTATCAATCAAGAAGCCCTTCGTGTTACTCTGTACCCGTGAAGTAGCTCCCAGTCTTGAAAAGGTCGGTGACCCCTGCTCTGTAGAAACCATTCGTTTCAGTCAGTAAAACGAATCGATTCTGTTTCCTCCCAGATTATTTTACTGCTCCAGGTTTGATGCGTTGACCCTGTGGTCTTAAGAGGCGGGGTCATTAAATCCCAAAAGTTTTTCACTGCGCACTTTTATCCCCCGCTGACCGTGACACGATCAAACCAGAACTGGGTTGAGATGATTGGTGTTTTTGGACCTGCCTTTGTAATTGAGCACTGAGCCGCGCTCCTTCCTGGTTCCTGCTGCAATGGCGGACATTCCATCAAGACGGCGGTTAGCCAGGAAAGCTGGGTCGCATATTCCTACTGCCGACCCAGGACCAGTTCCAGCTCCTCTGGTTCTGGAACAAACTGAGAACCTGAGATGACCAGAACCTGCTGGTTCTGTTGGACCAAGACTGACCCTACTCTCTTCCCCTCAGTGATGAGCTGACCCTGGAGGGCATCAAGCAGTTCTTTGTCGCTGTGGAGAGAGAGGAGTGGAAGTTCGACACCCTGTGTGACCTTTACGACACGCTGACCATCACACAGGCCGTCATCTTCTGCAACACCAAGAGGAAGGTCAGACACACACACACACACACACACACACACACACACACACACACACACAGCTGCTGTTGTGTAGTGGTCATCATGGCGACCAGAGAGCAAAGAGGGGAAGAGCTGAATTTCACCGAGGCAGAAGCTCAAATGATTCTGGTTGCCACGTCTCTGTTTACATCCAGAAATTGGGCTCATTAAGACTTTTGTTTACCTTCTCATCCGCAGCAGCAGAGCCGCTAGCAGAGCCGCTAGCAGAGACGCTAGCAGAGCCGCTAGCAGAGACGCTAGCAGTGCCGCTAGCTGTGCTAGTGCCGCTAGCAGTGCGCTAGCAGAGCCGCTAGCAGAGACGCTAGCAGAGACGCTAGCAGAGCCGCTAGCAGAGACGCTAGCAGTGCCGCTAGCTGTGCTAGTGCCGCTAGCAGTGCCGCTAGCAGAGCTAGCAGAGACGCTAGCAGAGCCGCTAGCAGTGTCGCTAGCAGTGCCGCTAGCTGTGCCGCTAGCTGTGCTAGTGCCGCTAGCAGTGCTAGTGCCGCTAGCAGAGCCGCTAGAAGTGCTAGTGCCGCTAGCAGAGCCGCTAGAAGTGCTAGTGCCGCTAGCAGAGCCGCCAGCAGAGCCGCTAGCAGAGACCTAGCAGAGCCGCTAGCAGTGCCGCTAGCAGAGACGCTAGCAGTGCCGCTAGCAGAGCCGCTAGCAGTGCTAGTGCCGCTAGCAGAGCCGCTAGCAGAGACGCTAGCAGAGCCAGCAGTGCCGCTAGCAGAGCCGCTAGCAGTGCCGCTAGCAGAGCCGCTAGCAGAGACGCTAGCAGTGCCGCTAGCTGTGCTAGTGCCGCTAGCAGTGCTGTGCAGACGTGTTACCATAGCAACTGACAACACCACCAAAAACACTGAAACATTTTCACACAAAGAACAGGACATTCAGTCTGTTGGTTTATTTTTTCATGCTTGATGTTCATTTTGTAATTTTGGTGGATTAGCTACTGCTGCTAGGGTTAGCTACCCTAATCTAACACTACGGTAGATTAGCTCAGTAGTATATTTTTTGAAACCAAATTCCACAACATGTTGTCAAAGTCAAGTTGCCCTAACTGAGCTGCTTCCCCCTCTCCTCTATATTTTTCCTTAAGTTTTCCTTGTGATCTAGTTGTCACAGTGTAGCAAAGTGCTGCGTCCCGTTGATTCCATATTTAGCTAAAACCAATGCTAGTCATCGATAGCCAGCAGCTTTTGTACGTCTGAGCTCACATTGCAACAGATCCATAGAATACCAATGAAGCCCCCCTGCAGGCTGTAGTGGCATCCAGCATCAGCATGGGCCAAAGCCTGATGGGAAATGTAGTTAGCGTGTTTCTGCTACAGGTGGACTGGCTGACAGAGAAGATGAGGGAGGCGAACTTCACCGTGTCGTCCATGCATGGAGATATGCCCCAGAAAGAGAGAGAGTCCATCATGAAGGAGTTCAGGTCTGGCGCCAGGTGAGACGGGGGGAGAACGAGGCAGATGGGTTGAGACTAGTGGACCGGTCCCACTGACCCGTGTCCTGTGTGTCCCCAGCCGGGTCCTGATCTCCACAGACGTGTGGGCGCGCGGCCTGGACGTCCCGCAGGTGTCCCTAATCATCAACTACGACCTGCCCAACAACAGAGAGCTCTACATCCACAGGTAGGCGGCGGCGCAGCGACCCTCTGGGCAAAACATTATGACCGCTGCAGAACAGATCCCAGGTTCTGATCGTTCACGTGACCCGCCTCTCTCCCAGGATCGGGCGGTCTGGTCGCTACGGCAGGAAGGGCGTGGCCATCAACTTTGTGAAAAACGACGACATCCGGATCCTGCGGGATATCGAGCAGTACTACTCGACCCAGATCGACGAGATGCCCATGAACGGTACCTGCCCGTTTCCATGACAACACCGATGGCTCCCCTCCCATTGGCTGTTTTCGCCTTAACACCTTGTCTGGTTTTCTCCACAGTGGCTGACCTGATCTGACCTGATGACGTCACAGCCCCGCCCCCTTCCTATTTACTTCTCATTGGCCACGCAGTTGCTTCCTGTTTTACCTGTCCAGGTGACGTTCGCTGTTGAACGTTACCTGTTTTTGTAAATAAATTTGCTTTGGATTCATGTATGTTGTTGATATCCTGTTTACATGGAAACGCGCCACAGCTGCTACGCGCGAGCAGCAGCGCCCCCTGACTGCAGGAAGAGGGACACGACACACAGCCAAATCCGTTGAAATATTTTTAAAGAAAGAAAAACATCAAAAATTCAGATTTTATGAACAGACATTGAACGCATCAGAGAGGCGGAGCTCCGTGGATCAGGCTTCGCCTCCCAACATTTTAACATGTAAAAACTCCAGTATTTCATTTACAGGACAGGAAGTAACTTGCTGCTAGCAGGAAGTGATGTCATTGTGTTGGAGGAACCCAACATCAATCAGGAAGTGACTTCACAATATTGGAGAAAGGAAGTGATGTCAGACTGTCTGGGAGCAGGAAGTTAGAGTTGCTTCCAGCAGCAACCAATCAGATGAAACTTCCTGTATGTGAGAGCCAATGACCAGCAACGGTTTACAAAGCGTTCTGATTGGTCCATTGACGAGGTACGCTCAGTGGGAGGAGCCTACGACTCTCTACGGATGAACCAGATCTCATTGCGGCGCTGCGGCGCTCCCGGGTTGTCGTACGGCGACCATGAAGCGGTCGCTGTGGACGCCGGGGTCACCGGGGTCGAGCAGCTCCCGCAGGACGCGTATCTGCCAGCCCACCGTTTGCTCCGTGGTCGCCCGTAGAACGTCCTGCACACAATTAGAGAGTCAGGGGCGGGTGTGCTGACGTCCCACAGCAGAAGGGGCGGGGCTTACCTTGCAATCACTCTGATTGGCTCCCGGTAGCTGACTGATGTCGGGATCGAGGGAGTGCGGCACGCTACTCTGGAACTCTGAGGGAAGAAAGAACGCCGTCTCCACACTCTTCTCAAACGTCTCGCCGTCCTCCATCACCTGGACGCTGCTGACCACAGGTACGGTCATGCCCAGGTAGCGCCCTGCAACCACAGAGACATTGTGATGTCATCGGGCGCGCCAACCGACAGGTGTCGGGGCGGGGCCTCACCTGCAGAGTTCTCCTTGCAGATGAAGCGCATCAGCTTCATGAAGGCGAGGGAGATGCTCTGTTCGTACAGATCCTCGCTGCGCCGCGCGCCCACCCAGAACCCGGCCGGGTACCGCCGCTCCTCGTACAGAACCTCGCCCATCTGGACACACACAGGCCGTCACCACGGTGACAGCGACTCAGAGCCCATTATGGTCTGTACCTTCTCATGGCGGGAGATCAGGACGAAGGGCAGCGGCTCCCTCTGCTGGCGGTTCCGGGTCATTTCCTGGATCGGCCCGGTCATTTCTGAAACGCAGAGAAAACAGGCGTCTGATTGGATGAGCGTTTGGCCCCGCCCATTCACCAGGCGTGTGATTGGATGAGTGTTTGGCCCCGCCCCTTCACCTGCAGGGACAGACACCTGGTGGGTGCTGGCCACCGCCTGCCAGTGGCTCAGCAGGCCGTCCTCGTCCCCCATTGGCTCGGCGTTGTCGGTGATGTCATCGTCCAGCTGCTCGTCGTCCAATCCCTCCAGGTCATCCAGTGAGATCAAAGCCATGATGCGGACCGGACCTGCGGACCGGACAGAACCAGAACCATCAGAGGAGACGACCCCGAGCAGCCAATCAGATCTCTCCATCTGAGCAGCAGGGGGCGCCATGCCGGCGTCCAGGACCAGAAGTTCTGGATCGTTTCTGCTGAACGGACCGGTCGGAACCTTATGAGTTCTGAGCACAATAATCTGTGACGTCACCCTCAGACCTTTAATGTGACCCGGCTTGAACCGGTTCCGACCCGGTTCCGAGGTTTCGGCCCACACAGATTTACTATGTCCGGTTCAGCCGGACTGGACCGGAACAGAAAGGTCACGAACGGAACGGGTCCAAATAGAACCGAACTCCGTTCAGTGATGGTTCCGAGGTTCTGCTGCTCCTCCAGACAGAGCCGGGCCAAACCCGAACCGAACCGCAGCGGGTTGTGTACAGATGAGCGACCGGACCGACCCGGACCGGACCGACCCGGACCGGACCTTACCGGGTTCTGGTCGCACTGGTTCAGGTGAGTTCGGAGCTCCGACGGTCCAAACGGTTCAGAAGCTTCTCTGCTTCCGGCTGCTGGTCTGCGCCAAGACTTTCAGAATAAAAGCCTGTTGACAGCAGCTGAGTTTAGAACCGAACCGAACCACGTGACCCGTTTATAGGCGTGACGTAATATCACAGCGACAATAATAAAGACTTTAATTTTGTTTTTTTACTGTTTACTGCTCAGAACCAGAACCTTCTCTGGGTTCTGCAGGTCGAACCGAACTGGGCTCTAAGTTCTGCTGTCCAGAACTCTGCGGAGACAACAGAACCGAATCAGAACCTAACTATAAGAAGCTGCAGGTCATTTTTCATCTTCTTGAAAGGATCAATAGTAATGAACAATTAATAATCAATCAGCTCCTCTGACCTTGCAGAACCGGAACCGATCCAGAACTGGTTCTGTTTGGGCTTCAGACATTATCAACTCATTTTTTTGTTTGATCTTTGGACCTTTAACGGTCGGAAGCTCTACTGACCCCATCTGGTTCTTTTATAGAAAACTTCAGTTTGGGTCGACCAGAACCAGAACCAGAGGACGGCCCTGCCTGCTGAAGAACCTGGTTCTAGATAACTCTGCAGCGCCCTGGTGGTCGGGTTGGGACTGGTACCGGTACTGCCTACTCATCTCTAGATGAACATGATTGGACCTGTTTCCTTTGGACCGGGTTCACCAGAACCAGCAGTTCTCAGGTTCCGACCTGGCTGACATTCATCACCTGGAATATTTAAAGGAAAACTGAAGCTGGAGGGAAATGGAAAGTTCTGGTTCTGGACTGGTTCTGACCCATAACACAGCTCCTTAAACCCATTTAGTTACTGTGATGGTTCTGGAGGCCCAGGAGACTTCTGCAGGTTCTGGTTCTGTTGGGCCAGAGGTGGTGTTGATGCTGGGTTCTGGTTCTGATTCCAAATGGTCAGAAAGAGCACCATCAGTCGGAACCGATCCAGAACCGGTACATGACCCTGATCCTGGTCCAGTTGCTCATGTGTGATTTCAGAACCAGTTGGAATCCCTGCAGGTACCAGAGAGCAGGTCGGACCTGGTCCAATTAGGCGGTGACTCCGCCCCCTTTTGGTGGGAGGAGCTTCTGCAGGAGCTGCTGCTGCTTTGGGTCCTATCAGAACCAGGTTGAAGTTCAGAACCTCATCTTGAAATCAGGAAAACAACTGAACATTTATTTTGATGCTGTTATCAGTTACTTCCGGTTCTGAATTCTTACTCTCTACCAGGGTGGACTTGTTGGTGTTGGACTCCAGCTCTCATTTTTTAGACCGAGTCGCCACACACAACATGGCGGCGTCTCTGCTGCTGTTTTTATAGCCTGTTGCCATGGCAGCAGGGTCCTTGCTGTTGACCTTGATGCAGCTCAGATCTGAACAGCGTCAGCAGAACCGGGCCGCTCTGAGCGCGCTCAACATGGCCACTTCCTGTCACAGCTGACCAATAATATCTTCATTATCAATAATCAGCTGCAGAAACACCAGGGCAACCATCTGGATCCACGGTATCTGGCTGCTGTCCTTATTTTGAAAGGGGGGGGGAAACTGACTGGTGCTGATTTACCACACAGGTTTGTGTGGCTCTTTATTTTATTTCTGACCTCTGACCCTGTTGTGGGGACTAGGCTTTGGCCCCACAAGGTATTACACACACACACACACACACACACACACACACACACACACACACACACACACACACAGGAAGAGCTGACAGGATGCAGCTTCTGAGCTGCTCTGGGTGGTGCTTCCGGTCCGACTGGGCGGAGCTTCCGGTCTAACTGGGCGGAGCTTCCGGTCCGACTGGGCGGAGCTTCTGGCCTGACTGGGCGGAGCTTCCGGTCCGACTGGGCGGAGCTTCCGGTCTAACTGGGCGGAGCTTCCGTCCAACTGGGCGGAGCTTCTGGCCTGACTGGGCGGAGCTTCCGGTCCGACTGGGTGGTGCTTCCGGTATGACTGGGCGGAGCTTCCGGTCCGACTGGGCGGAGCTTCTGGTCTGACTGGGCGGAGCTTCTGGTCTGACTGGGCGGAGCTTCCGGTATGACTGGGCGGAGCTTCCGGTCTGACTGGGCGGAGCTTCCGGTCCGACTGGGCGGAGCTGGATGTCAAAGGAGCCACAATTATTTACAATACTTTTTAATTTGACCCAAGAGGTGAAAAAACACTGAGCTCAATCTGAGCTGCTCTGCATAAAACACAACAACAAAATATCAGCTTGGTGATGTGAACTTTTCATTTGAATAAAAAAATAATAATTTATTGTCTCAGTCTTTATCGTTATGTTTGGGCCATTAATACATTTTTATAAGACAATATAAAATACTGGTGTTTGCAGTGAAAAGGCAGTAAAATGAAAACAATAATAATAATAATGATAATACAGACCTTTGGTCACTTAAATAACTGAGAAACATCATAATATGTAGGAGAAAAGTGCGCCCCCCCCTCCCCCCTTTTCACTAGCAGTAAAGGAATTAAGGGAAGAAATTACTAACATATTCATCTATTTAACTTGGACGTTTTACTACATTTAACAACCTGTGAGTTGGTCAGCAGCAGCTCTAACCCATTGATTAGCACATTTAGCAGTGAACAAGGTTGATTGACAGCGCTAAGACCCTCCTCCTGGTTCTGATTGGTTGTTTTGGTCACAATGTTGCATTAGCCAGTAATAGCAGCTCAGGTGGAGGAGATTGATTGGTTTCACAGATTATCTGTCTCATAACAAACTATTACAACATGGTGCCAACTTTAACAAATATGAAAAACGCATATTTTTTATTAAACTTATATAGTGCAGCTTGAATAAAATGCAACTATGTAACATTTTTTGAGAAGTCTGGATTGCTTTATGTGTATTTAAGACATTTGAGTGTCTAAATGCAACCGACTGGCCTGCAGCATGTGGACTGTTGCATGTAAATATTGTGCTGCTATCCAAAGACAGCGAGGCCTTTGAAATGTGACGCCTTTTATGGGTCAAATCGACTCAAGAAACAGGAACAGCAGCCGCCTGGGCCCTAGGATTTCTGGCAGCGCCCCTGCATCCAGTGCAGCTTCCTGTTTTCATTTTGTTTTATTTTGGAGAGAGGCGTTTTCTCCTCACTTCCTGTTCCCGAAGCTCCAGTCACTTCTGGCTGGTTTGGGGGAGGTGTTGAGTTACAGGAAGCAGCAGAGGCCAGCAGGGTCGCTCCTGAATTATTGATCGCTCTCAGAGCTTTTATGTTCTTCCTGGGACGGCCTGCAGCATCACCTGATGCTCCCAGGAGGCCTCAGTCACCCGGTCGCCACGGAGACGAGATAAAGCTGACAAGGACGAAGATGAGTCCAGTCCAATCACATGACCCTCCAACAGGAAAACACACCTCCACCCCCTCCTGCTAATCCCCCCACCGATCTGCAGACTCAGCACTAATCTGGAGTTTCCTTCACAACCGAATTTCAAAATAAAACCACCGGATTACATCAGCTGCTCATTAGGGTGGCTGTGCGATTCCTATGGATCTCTGAGCCAAATATTTAGACCTGACTCTGAATCAGTTGCTGATAACCGGAAGTGGACCACCAAAATAAAAAGATGGCTCATCGAGATGCTGCAGCGTCTCACCAGCAGGACTGGTGGAGCGTTGGCCCAGCCTTTATTTTGAAAGTCCTCCTCCCTCCACCTGTCTCAAAGTAAATTTCCATCTTGGCTAAACATGTAGCTCTGAGCAAACTGAACAGTTTGGAGCTGAATGTTTAGCTATTGATCAATCAGATGTGATTTGTGGTTCACATTTCAGCAACACGTCGTTTCAAAAACAGAGCAAAGAATCGAAACGTTGCATTTAGTCCCAACGAAAATTATTCATCCGTTTCGCCTCAGAGGCAGAACAGCTTCTAGTCGGGGTTTATAGGAGCTCAGGGTTTCGGCTGTTTTACAGTTTTCAGGAAGTTTGTTCCAGATCTGTGGCGCATAGAAGCTGAATGCTGCTTCTCCTGGTTCTGGTTCTGATGCAGAGCAGAACCAGAACCAGCAGGTTGATCCAGCAGCAGCAGATCTGTAAACCATCAGATTTATGAACGACCAGTGAAGGTGCCAAGAGAGTTGGATTTTTATGAACAGAGAACAGACTTCATTACGATGAAGTCATTTTCCTGCTTCGCTGTTTTTATTGCTTTCAAATGGGAAACACTGAAACACCAGACATGTTGCACTAGATGATCTGGATCCATCCAGCAGGTGAAGGAGGCAGAGCTTCCCGCTGAGCCACGGGCCTGCAGAGCCGACCCGGAAACGACCCGGAAACGACCCGGAAACGACCCGGAAAAACCCAACAGCACAGAAACACGATTAACGCCAAGATGAAGCGAAGCACATAAAAGCCTTGAAGGGAAGAACATTATAAAAGTTTATGAAGCAACAAATATTTCATAACATTTTCAATTTACCTAAAATCAGAACTGGGTGGTGCAGAACTGGGTGGTGCAGAACTGGGTGGTGTAGAACCGGGTGGTGTAGAACTGGGTGGTGTAGAACCGGGTGGTGTAGAACCGGGTGGTGTAGAACTGGGTGGTGTAGAACCGGGTGGTGTAGAACTGGGTGGTGCAGAACTGGGTGGTGTAGAACCGGGTGGTGCAGAACTGGGTGGTGCAGAACTGGGTGGTGCAGAACTGGGTGGTGTAGAACCGGGTGGTGCAGAACTGGGTGGTGCAGAACCGGGTGGTGCAGAACTGGGTGGTGTAGAACCGGGTGGTGTAGAACTGGGTGGTGCAGAACCGGGTGGTGTAGAACCGGGTGGTGCAGGGGTGGTGCAGAACTGGGTGGTGCAGAACTGGGTGGTGTAGAACCGGGTGGTGCAGAACTGGGTGGTGCAGAACCGGGTGGTGCAGAACTGGGTGGTGTAGAACCGGGTGGTGTAGAACTGGGTGGTGCAGAACCGGGTGGTGCAGAACTGGGTGGTGTAGAACCGGGTGGTGCAGAACCGGGTGGTGCAGAACCGGGAGGTGCAGAATTGGATCTTCCTGGTTATCCACACATTTCTCTGTTCATGCTGAGGTCACCAGCAGACCTTTGATGAGGTCATAGGTCACATGGTGACCCTAACCCCATAAACTGGAGCTGTAGCATCTGCATGGTCATGGTGACCGGTCTTATTTCCTGTTGTCACCTGAACCATTGGAGGCTGACAGACATTGAATCACAGGGTCGTAGGATGGAGCCTTGGGGTGACCTCTGACCTCTTGATTTAGACAAAATTCCAGTTCTTCAGGTTAGACTGGAACCAGTTGAGTTCTGGGGTGGAGAGTCCGACCCAGTTCTCCAGTCCAGTCTGTGTTCATATGCATAAATTCGGCCTTTGACTAGGCCGGTCTCAGGGCAGTGGGCTGGAGTTGGACTTGAGCTCCTGAGTTATAATCTCTTCTAGTTTCATCATAAAATAGTTGAAACTGGTTTATGTTGGATAAACATAAAGCAGTTTTGGGTTCAGGGTGGATATTATAACTTTATAACTTAATGCAGACGTTATGAAAATATTTCCTCTTTCAAGAATTCAATAATGATGGGAATAATCCAGATTAATTGAACAGATGTTGCGTAATCAGAGGGTCTGTCGTTCTGGTCTCCGAACCAGCAGGTGGTTAGGACCTGCTGATGACGTCAGACGGTGTAGGTCAAAGTTCACTTCGGTTCTTTGACGCCAGCAGGAAGAGAGTCACTGGAGGTTTCGAGAACAAGAATGACGCTGGACTTTTATTGTGAAGGGCCGGCTTCCGGTGCAGCAGCCCACCTGCACGCACCTTGACGCAGCTCAGAGGCCAGTCGGCATGACAACGCGCTAACCAGGGCAAACGGAACAGCTGATGGAGGAGGAGGATGGCAGCTCAGCATGTCCAGTAACGGAACCCGCGCAGAAAGCAGAACCGCCGCCGGTTCGGTCCAGCTGCCGGCCATGGAGAGAGCGCGGCCCATCACGGTGAAGGTGTCCGCGGTGAGCCTGGCGCTCAGCTCGCTGTCCCTGCTGCTGCTGGTCACCGCCATCTCCACCGACCACTGGTACCAGACCGACACCCGCAGGCACAAGCAGAACTGCGACGGTTCCGACTCCAACGACCAGAAGAACCGGGAGATGCCCATCTACCACCTGCCGCTGGTGGACACCGGCGGCGCCGCGGCCCGGCAGCGGGACGTGGCGCTGATGAAGCCCGTGCATGTGGGCAGCAGGGAGGAGGAGCTGCTGGAGAACTGGCGGGCCATCCTGGGGATGGGCATCCTGGAGACGGAGTGCGGCAGGCCGCTGTTCTCCACGCACTCCGGCCTCTGGAGGAAGTGCTACTTCAAGGGACTGGACCCGGACATCGACAAGCTGATCGACCGGGGTGCGTGAGCCCGCACACACACACACACACACACACACACACACACACAAACACACACACACACACACACACACACACACACACACACACACTAATAAATGCACCACGGATGGGTGGGAATGCTTCATCACGTGATCTGCTCTGCGGATGTTCCGTTCAGACACCTGAGCTTCCTGAAGGCGTGACCCCTGATGACATCACAGGAGGGGATAGAACAGAACGCTGACCGAGAGGATGTCAAAGGTCACCTGATGATGTCATCGCCTCATCAATCTGTGTGTTGAATTGAACTGGAGTGAGAAGAAGCTCAGTTTAAACTCAACCCAGTACCTGCTGGTACCAGTGAACTGGGAGGACTGGTGGGACTGGCAACCTGTCCATGGTGACAGCAGTTGAGAGCTAGTTCTGGTTCTGGTTCTGGTTCTGGTTCTGGTTCTCCCTGGTGGTTTTGGATTCACCAGCTGCAGCTTTCCCCTGGTTGGATGGTTTGTTCAGGTTCTGGATCTGATCCCGGTCAGACTCCTGTAGAACCCTTTTAAGAACGCCCGGCCCACAGGCCGGTCCAGACGGAGGTTCCAGAACCATCTGGGTTCCAGTTCCTGTCCAGGTGTTGAAGACGTGCAGCTGGATAATCCTGAGCTCTGACCCGATCCAACAGCGGTGGGCCAGGACGGATCAGAACCAAGGTCCTGCTGACCTGACACCAGCAGACTGGGTCCTACCGAACGCGGTGACCCGCTCCGGCAGAACCAGAACCACAGATTACATCAGCCTCCATTAGTCAGCTTAGAGCCACTGCGCATCACTATGTTTCCCATGATGCACCTGCCACTCTGACCCTGAAGGTTGGCAGGTTATCAGGGAGCTTCTGCTGCTTGATGACATCATCACAGATGTGTCTCACCTGTGTGTCTGCAGGTATCGCAGATCGCTGCACAGCTGTGAAGTACCACTTCTCTCAGCCAATCAGATTAAGGAACATCCCTCTGAACCTGACCAGGACCATCCAGCAGGACGAGTGGCACCTGCTGCGTAAGCACACACACACACACACACACACACACACACACACACACACACACACACACACACACACACACACACACACACACACACAACACACACACACACACACACACACACACACACACACACACACACACACAGAGACACACACACACAGACACACACACACACACACACACACACACACACACACACAGAGACACACACACACACACACAGAGACACACACACACACACAGAGACAACACACACACACACACACACACACAGAGACACACACACAGACACCCATGCACATGTGAAGGTTACCTGCAGGCTGATGTCACTGAGTGACATCACTCAGCGTCAGCCTCTCATTGGCTGCTCCTTAGTCCTTACTGTATGTCGCCAGTTGCCATGGAAACATGCTACAGTGGTTATGTAACAGAAGGGGTGAGCAGAAGCTGGTTACCATGGCAACAATGTATGGATCTCTGAGCCTCATTAGAAAACTAAAGACCAGAACCAGAACCAGAACCAGAACCAGGACCAGAACCAGAACCAGAACCAGAACCAGAACTAGAACCTGAACCAGAACCAGAACCAGAACCAGAACCAGAACCTGAACCAGAACTAGAACTAGAACTAGAACCAGAACTAGAACCTGAACCAGGACCAGAACCAGAACCAGAACCAGGACCAGGACCAGAACCTGAACCAGAACCAGGACCAGGACCTGGTACTCTGAGAACTTCCTGCCTGCTCATGCAGCAGGTCCAGATGCTCACTGCTGTGTGTGTGTGTGTGTGTGTGTGTTATATGTGTGTGTGTGTGTTATATGTGTGTGTGTGTGTGTTATATGTGTGTGTGTGTGTTATATGTGTGTGTGTGTGTGTGTGTGTTATATGTGTGTGTGTGTTTATATGTGTGTGTGTGTGTTATATGTGTGTGTGTGTGTGTGTGTTATATGTGTGTGTGTGTGTGTGTTATATGTGTGTGTGTGTGTTATATGTGTGTGTGTGTGTGTGTGTGTTATATGTGTGTGTGTGTGTTATATGTGTGTGTGTGTGTTATATGTGTGTGTGTGTGTGTGTGTGTTATATGTGTGTGTGTGTGTTATATGTGTGTGTGTGTGTGTGTGTGTTATATGTGTGTGTGTGTGTTATATGTGTGTGTGTGTGTGTTATATGTGTGTGTGTGTGTGTGTGTGTTATATGTGTGTGTGTGTTATTATGTGTGTGTGTGTGTGTTATATGTGTGTGTGTGTGTGTGTGTGTTATATGTGTGTGTGTGTGTTATATGTGTGTGTGTGTGTTATATGTGTGTGTGTGTGTGTGTGTTATATGTGTGTGTGTGTGTGTGTTATATGTGTGTGTGTGTGTTATATGTGTGTGTGTGTGTGTGTGTGTTATATGTGTGGTGTGTGTGTGTTATATGTGTGTGTGTGTGTTATATGTGTGTGTGTGTGTGTGTGTGTGTTATATGTGTGTGTGTGTTATATGTGTGTGTGTGTGTGTGTGTGTGTTATATGTGTGTGTGTGTGTTTATATGTGTGTGTGTGTGTGTGTTATATGTGTGTGTGTGTGTGTTATATGTGTGTGTGTGTGTTTATATGTGTGTGTGTGTGTGTGTTATATGTGTGTGTGTGTGTGTTATATGTGTGTGTGTGTGTTATATGTGTGTGTGTGTTATATGTGTGTGTGTGTGTGTGTGTGTTATATGTGTGTGTGTGTTATATGTGTGTGTGTGTGTGTGTTTATATGTGTGTGTGTGTGTGTGTTATATGTGTGTGTGTGTGTTATATGTGTGTGTGTGTGTGTGTTATATGTGTGTGTGTGTGTGTGTGTGTGTGTCCTCAGATCTGCGGCGCATCACGGCCGGCTTCCTGGGAATGGCCGCCGCCGTCCTGCTGTGCGGGAGCATCGTGGCGTCGGTCGGCTTCTTCTGGGAGGAGAGTCTGACGCAGCACGTCTCCGGCCTGCTCTTCCTGATGGCAGGTAGGGGGCGCCCCCTGCTGGGGCAGCCAGGCGCTGCCGCACACCCTGAAGGTCACTGGACCGGTCAGGGCCGGACACAGAACCATGCGTACGATTACACACGGTGGAGCGTGTGTAATCGTACGCATGGTTCTGTTAAGAACCAGAACCGGACGGCGGCTCAGCAGCAGGTGATTCCAGACAAGAGGAAGAACTTTCTGTTTGCATCCCGGTTCTGTTTGATTCGCTGAAAGTCCTGAGGTTCTGACCCACTGAGGTGCTACTGGGTCATGTTCTGCTTTCAGAACCCAGGATCCTCTGTGTGATCTGACCCAGCATTGCTTCTGTCTGCAGGGATCTTCTGCACCATTTCTCTGTGCACGTATGCAGCCAGCGTGACCTACGACCTCTCCAGGAACCCGCCCTTCATCTACGGCCTCCCGTCCGATGTGGACCACGGCTACGGCTGGTCCATCTGCTGTGCCTGGGCCAGCCTGGGTCTGACCGTCGCCTCCGGCTGCCTCGGAACCGCCTTCCCTTTCCTCAGCCGGGCCGGCGCACTCGGATCCAAAACGGCCCGAGAATCCTCCGTGTGATCAGCCGGAACCGGCAGCGAGACTTTGGACCTCAGGTGGACAGACTCACCTGTCTGTGGATCCTTTGTGTAGGTAGCGCCCCCTGGTGGAGGTAAACTAAGGAAGTGTTAAGTGAATCCAGTTGGATACTGACCACTGCAGATTTTCAGGCGATCAGCTATGACATCAGAGGTGGGTGGCCACACGAGATGAGGCTCCTCACAGTTTCTCCTGAGAGCTTTTATTTTGGAGGATGAGGAATGTTTTTCATTCCACTGGGTTTCCCACGACTCAGATCTGGATTTGTTAAAAATCACAGCTTGTTAACACCTCTAGACCCGTTAACTAGACTCGTTAACTGACTCGTTAACTAGACCCGTTTAACTAGACTTGTTAACTGACCCGTTAACTAGACTTGTTAACTGACTCATTAACTGACTCGTTAACTAACTCGTTAACTAGACCCGTTAACTAGACTTGTTAACTGACTCATTAACTGACTCGTTAACTAACTCGTTAACTAGACCCGTTAACTAGACTTGTTAACTGACCCGTTAACTAGACTTGTTAACTGACTCATTAACTGACTCGTTAACTAACTCGTTAACTAGACCCGTTAACTAGACTTGTTAACTGACTCATTAACTGACTCGTTAACTAACTCGTTAACTAGACCCGTTAACTAGACTTGTTAACTGACCCGTTAACTAGACTTGTTAACTGACTCATTAACTGACTCGTTAACTAACTCGTTAACTAGACCCGTTAACTAGACTTGTTAACTGACTCATTAACTGACTCGTTAACTAACTCGTTAACTAGACCCGTTAACTAGACTTGTTAACTGACCCGTTAACTAGACTTGTTAACTGACTCATTAACTGACTCGTTAACTAACTCGTTAACTAGACCCGTTAACTAGACTTGTTAACTGACTCATTAACTGACTCGTTAACTAACTCGTTAACTAGACTCATTAACTAGACTCGTTAACGTCTCTGGACTCGTTAATTTGATTCATTAATTTGTGGAGTTACTGGACTCAGTAATTCGACTCGTTAACGTTTATGGACTGTGGTGTGTGAATGTGATTGGATGAAACAAACATCTCCAGTGAGCGCGCTCAGAAGTTTCAGTCTGCAGATTGAAGCGGGCCATTGGTTACTAAAGAACCGGACCTGCAGAACGAACCTGAAACTCAGCAGCTCCTGTCCAGAATTCCGTTGCTCGGGTCCGGTTCCATCAGCCCGGCCTGAAGGTGAGCAAACTGGGACCTGACTGGGTCAATGGGTTGGTTGGTTCTGGTTGGAGAAGCCCAGAGATTGGTTCTGTGAACGTTGGACCACAGCCTGGATGTAAATACTGTAAATGTTCTGATCCGGTATTATTCTGCAGCTGTGTTCTGATAGTTCTGATCATTCAGCTACTGAGCCACAAACTGGAAGGAACCAATCGGACCGTACCAGTTTCGAGGTCAGAGACTTTATGGGTCAGAAAAAACTTAACTGGATTCAGTCCACTGACCACCCAGGATCTGCCTGATCCATGACGGAATCCGTTCCAGAACCCGATTGCCCAGAGACTCTCTGACCTGTTGATGTCAGCAGTAACCGATCCTCAGAGAACCACAGAACCTTGTGCTAATAACACCCGAAAACCCCCGCTGGGTTCTGCTGCCCCCTGCCGGGTTCTGCTGCCCCCCGCTGGGTTCTGCTGTCCCCTGCCGGGTTCTGCTGCCCCCCGCCGGGTTCTGCTGCCCCCCGCTGGGTTCTGCTGTCCCCTGCCGGGTTCTGCTGCCCCCGCTGGGTTCTGCTGTCCCCCACCGGGTTCTGGATCTGCTGATGTCATTCTGAGATTTATCTGTAAATAAATGATGTAACGCCTCCATGTGACTGTGTGTCTCTGTTTCTTGCACCTAAACTGAGTAACTGCCTCTGACCTTCAGATGCCCTCTGACCTTCAGATGCCGTTTGACCTTCAGATGCCGTTTGACCGGACCGGTTCTTCACTTTGCTTTTGCGTCTTTTCAGTTTCTCATGGCAGCGTTGCAGAAGGTCGGGTTCTGGTTGGGCCAGCAAATGTATGAAGTCATTCAGAGAAACATGGTTTCTAGAAGATGCTGTGAGGATGATGAGCACCGACTCTTCCTCTCTCTGCTGTGGAAACCGAATCACAGACAGGAGAACCGGTCTGACGCCGAGACCATCTGCTGCTACATCCAGAGAGACCTGATGGAGACCTGATGGACACCTGATGGACACCTGACGGAGACCTGATGGACACCTGACGGAGACCTGATGGAGACCTGATGGACACCTGACGGAGACCTGATGGACACCTGATGGAGACCTGACGGAGACCTGATGGAGACCTGATGGACACCTGACGGAGACCTGATGGACACCTGACGGAGACCTGATGGAGACCTGATGGACACCTGACGGAGACCTGATGGACACCTGACGGAGACCTGATGGACACCTGATGGACACCTGACGGAGACCTGATGGAGACCTGATGGACACCTGACGGAGACCTGATGGACACCTGATGGAGACCTGACGGAGACCTGATGGACACCTGATGGACACCTGACGGAGACCTGACGGAGAACCGACTGTCAGGTTGTTTCAGTTTGATGAAGATTCACTGAACTCAAGGTTAGCTCTCTCACTGCCATGTGGCTGCAGCCAAATCCAGGCCGGGGGCCAAATCCGGCCCACCATAGCTTCCATGCGGTCCGGAGACTCTGAAGGGCAACATTGAAATCCTGGAAAATCTCCATCTCCTTGGTATGTAATCAGATGAGTTTGTCAGGGCTGCAGAAGGAGAGATGAAACATTCAGACCCGAAAACTTTACTGGTGAACTGGGAGCCGCGGCTCGGTACCAAACGAACCGAGGGTTCCGAACTGCAGTACCGCGGCCGGCCGCGCGTGCAACCTTCATCAGTGACCCGCCAATGTACGTCAGTGTTCTGCAGACAGCGCATGCGCAGGAGAGCACCGTGTTCCGCACCGCCACAGTGACAACAACCGCCGCCGTTTGGTCGGCGAGTGTCCGCCCGCCGGGCCCCGCAGCCAGACCCCGCAGCCAGACCCAGACCCAGTCAGGCTTTCACTGCCAGAGCAGGAGCTGCAGGATCGGAGCCCCGTCTATGAGACCCCTCGTTACCGAGCCGAGTCCACCGAACCGCCCCAGCTGCTCCCAGAGGCTCCTGTACGGTCCAGAGAGGCGGACACCGGCAGCTTCGGGCCGCCTTCCCGGAGAACCCGGGGATCCGCGCCGCTAGCAGCGCCGCAGCTAACAGGCTAACGGCACCATGGCCTCCTCCCGCTGACCCGAACCGAACCAGCGAAGGGACTTCCAGCTGCACCGCGGAGCTAACTTCCAGCCAAGGATGGTGGCGGGGGCCGGGTCCGCTTCGGAGGATCGTCCCGGCCCGCCGGACCCGGGGCCCGCTTCATGTAGCCCGGCCTGCCGTGCCGGTCCGGCCCGCCGCGGGGCTCCAGCCCGGCCCGGGCCGCAGACATGCAGGCCGCCCAGCCGCAGTACGACTTCTTCAGCGAGGACAACGCCGGGAAGTGGAGAGGCCTGCTGGTTCCGGCCCTGGAGAAGGTACCGCCGAACCGAACCGCTCTGACCCGGTTCAGTCAGGGAGGCGATAGGACCAGAAGCAGAACAGGTCCAACAAAGACACCCTGGAGTTCTTGTCCAACTCGGTCCAGGTTCTGACCCGTCCTCTGTTGTCATGGGAACGCTCAGGTTGTATCACAGTCAGCTCCCCGGACTGTTCAGTGAATGGTTTCCCTGACAACCAGTGACGTCACATCACTGCATGATGTCACATAGGTAGACAGATAGGTCATGAAGCCAGTAGCTGCGGTTTCTGGTGCTTCTGGGTTCGGACCAGAACCTGGAGACGGTCAGACTTCCTGACACCTGATCAGGGTCAAACCCTGACCTTTGCTCCACAGCTGCTGACATCATCACCAGCCAGCCAATCACTGACTCCTTCCATTGGTGAATAACCTCAGAGCTGCAGCAGTGATCTCAGGTGATCTGGTTCTGGTTCTGGTTCTGGGTTCTGCAGCTGGGTTAGGGTGGGCGCTGTGGGTTAACCAACCAGAAAGCAGCTCTGTTGGAATTGGCCCCGCCCACATGAAGGCAGAACTTGTTCACCAGAGGAAACAAGTTCCCTTTAGAACCAGAACCCAGCAGGTCCAAACAGAAACCTGTCTGTCCAGAACCAGCCCAGTTCTGGTTTTGACCGTACAGCACGCTCAAGCTTTGTGGTTCTGATCCGGTTCCTGAGGTGAGATGACTCGGGTCAGAGCGAGTTCATCCCAGACCGACGAGAAGCACCAGATGTTTGTGTCGCTCCAGGATTTACTAACCTTCTGGGGACCAAAGCCAGGTCAGGTCAGAGGTCAGCCTCAGGGGAATTAGGTTAGGCAGCATGTCTAGTTAGTCATGAATCGCAGCTAAAACCAAAGGAAGCCAAACAAACGTGTGTGCGCGTGTGTGTGTGTGTGTGTGTGTGTACAGGTGTTGTACCAGGTGCATCCTAACCTGAAGTCCCAGCAGGAGGCGCTGCAGCACATCGAGGACCTGATCCTGCAGCTGCTCAGCATGCTGTGTCAGGCTCAGCCGCGCACCGTGCAGGACGTGGAGGTGACACACACACACACACACACACACACCCTCACACGCACACACACACGCACACACACACACACACACACACACACACACCTCACACACAACCACACACACACACACACACACCACACACCACACACACACACACACACACACACACACACACACACACACACACACAACACGCACACACACACACACGCACACACACACACACACCCTCACACACACACCCTCACACACACACGCACACACACACACCACACACACACAACACACACACACACGCACACACACACAACCTCACACCACACACACACGCACACACACACACCACACACCCACACACCCACACACACAACCTCACACACACACACACACACACACCCCACACACACACACACACGCACACACACACACACACACACACACCCTCACACGCACACACACACGCACACATGCACACACACACACACACACACCACACACACACAACCTCACACACACACACACGCACACACACCACCCACACACACACACACACGCACACACACACAACCTCACACGCACACACACACATACCCTCACACACACACCCTCACACGCACACGCACACACACACACACGCACGCACACACACACCCTCACACACACACACACGCACGCACACACACACCCTCACACACACACCCTCACACGCACACACACACACGCACACACACACACCTCACACACACACCACACACACACACACACACACCCTCACACACACACCCTCACACACACACACACCCTCACACCACACACACACACACACGCACGCACACACACACCCTCACACACACACCCTCACACGCACACACACACACACGCACACACACACAACCTCACACGCACACCACACACACCACACACACACCCTCACACGCACACACACACCACACACACACACCACGCACCACACACACCCTCACACACACACCCACACCACACACACACCACACCACACACACCACACGCACACACACACACCCTCACACACACACCACCCTCACACACACACCCTCACACCCACACACACACACACACACACACCCTCACACACACACACCACACCCCCACACCCACACCACACCCCCACACACACACACACACCCCCACACACACACACACCACCTGTCTGTAACATTGTGGCTGAATGAAAGCTGATGACATCATCCAGTGGGCGTGGTCTTTCATTCACTCACTCTGGCTCCACCAGTCCCTCCGTCTTCCTGTCTGGTGGTGATGACAATCGCCCAATCAGCAGCTTGCAGCTGTGATGTCATCGTCAGGACTTCACAGAGCGGCTGATAGGCTGTTTCCATGGCAACCGGTCTCCAGAGAGATTCCGTTCAGAGCCGATGGCCAGAACCAGAACCAGACAAAACCGGACCTGGAGTCACTGGGTCCAGGTCCAATAACCCCTACAGGTGAACGGTTCTCCAGAACCTCTTTAAACCTGCTGGACCCGGTTCTTTTAGAGGTTTGGGCCCAATGCTGGGTTCTGCTCACCGTACCGCTGGGTCCCTTCAGTTTGAACCTGGCAGAACTTTCTGGTTGGCTAAGGTTGACCCAGGTCAAAGGTCAGAGTAATGGTCCGGCCAGCAGGGGGCAGTAAACGCACCGTCTGAGAAAAAAATGTGTCGGATACAGAACCTCCAGCTTGGAGTCCAGAAGACCGGTTCTGGTTCTAGCCCCGGTTCTGACCCGTCTCTCTTCAGGAGCGGGTCCAGAGGAGTTTTCCTCACCCTATCGATAAGTGGGCGATCGCCGACGCGCTGGCCGCCATCGAGAAGAAGAAGAGGAAACCCGCTGGCACTTCCTGTCGACAAGATCCACCCACTGCTAAAGGTACGCTGCTCTTCATCCTCCTCCTCATCCTCCTCTTCTTCATCCTCTTCTTCATCCTCATCCTCCTCTTCTTCATCCTCCTCATCCTCTTCTTCCTCTTCTTCATCCTCCTCATCCTCCTCTTCTTCATCCTCCTCTTCTTCACGCTTCTCTTCCTCATCCTCCTCTTCTTCATCCTCATCTTCCTCATCCGCCTCTTCTTCATCCTCATCTTCCTCATCCTCCTCATCCTCCTCTTCTTCATCCTCATCTTCCTCATCCTGCTCTTCCTCATCCTCTTCATCCTCCTCTTCCTCGTCCTCCTCTTCCTCATCCTCCTCTTCCTCGTCTTCCTCATC